AATATTTTTAAAAAATTCAAACTTTTATTGCGATTTCCGACCCCCCTAATTAATTAATTTTATATTTAAAAAAATATATTAATTAAAAAAATTAAAAAACCATTGGAGGTCGTTTTTGACATCAGAAACTAACTTTAAATAACTTTACCGAATGAAAATCCGTGCGCTACAACTTAGGAACCATGAAATAAAATTGATAAAAAACTCCCATTAAAAAACAATTAAGCCTTAATCGAGCCTTCACATAGGCTCATTAAAATCGCGATAAAATTTTTTTGCGCGGGAAAAAATTTTGAAAAAATTTGGGGACCTAAAAAACATTCCAAAAATTCAAAAAAAATTTTTTTTTAAATGGCCTTAAGGACCACATTTTTCGTAACGCTATGTAGGCTTGACGTATATATACGTCAATTCAGACTGAGGGGTTAAGGACAGTTATCTGGAAGAAGCATTGCAGTCTCTTTTTCAAGGGTGTGTTTCCTGCAAGACAATGCTAGACCTTGTACAGCAAATTCTGTAAGGATATTGCTTTCAGGCATGCAGTTTGAGGTCTCTCCACATTCTCTGTACTTTCCTAATTTATCACCATGTGACTTCCATCTCTTTGGGGCACTGAAAGACTCTGAGGGACTTCTATTTCCACTCCAATAAAGTTTAGTCTATAGTGCATGTCTATCATCAGCCACTCAAAATCCTTTTTACTTCAGGCATTCATGCATTTGTATCCTGCTGGTGCAAGTACTCTGTCAAGATTGATTACTTTGAGACTAGTAGGTTAAGTAACTGTTGAAGTGCTCTAGAACAGGTCTTTACTCCATAAACAGATTTCCAGAACACTTTTATAGTTAATTAATGATTGTCCCTTGTATTTAACAGCTAATATCTACAGTTTAAAATATATTTCTGAAAAAATTACTGTAAATTCTCCAATAGACACCAGGTCTCCTATAAACACAGGCTATTTAGTTTAAACTGCTAAACAGATGCCAGGTATTGTTAAATTCCTATCCACAGCTTGCAAAGTTTAAATGTGTTCTGTATCTGCTATGGCAGTGATTCTAACCTGGGGTAGGTGATAGGTTGTTTAGGGGTACAGAAAAAAGTTAGTTATTATGGCAGAAAAATAATATATTATATATGACAAATTAATAGTATTAAAAAATTATTAAGTAAAAAATGTTCTTTGCAACAATCACAAACTTTATTATACATTTCAAAATGCAAAAATAGAAATAAAAACTTATGCCGCCAATTGTACAATGCAACAGATCAATAAATGTTGTGCAGTTGATCAATGGTAATGGGGATATCATTATGTGTGATTAGTGATTATGCTATGGACTTTTGATGGTGGGGTGTGTTACTGTTATTCTTATTATCTCTCAACATACTTCTAAGATGGTAACACAGCATGCAGTACAATTTTATAAACAAAACAGTCTTGTCAATAAAAAATTAATAAAAATACTGAATAAATAATGAAAAAAATTACAGCTTGTAGAGAAAATCTGGAGAAATTTGATCTCCATGTGTTGTTTGAAAAAGTATTCTTTTGTTTATAAAAAGTATTTTTTATTGTTAGCAAGGAAAAGGACATAGCTAGTTTCTCCAGATTTTCTCTACAAGCTGTAATTTTTTTCATTATTTATTCAGTATTTTTATTAATTTTTTATTGACAAGACTGTTTTGTTTATAAAATTGTACTGCATGCTGTGTTACCATCTTAG